CCAGTCACAACGAAGTCAAAAAATGGGTGGATGAATGGATCGCCTCGAAAGACACCGCGTTCTACCGTTATGGGATTGCACTGTTGCCAGAGAGATAGGAAAAAGTAGTAGAAAATGGAATAAATTACTTTGATTAAGGTATTCATCTTCCTTTCGAAACAAATCAATTTTGGAGACGAAAAAACGGCAGGAATTAAGTTTAACATCTAATAAAAAAAGGAAACAAAATGATACATGATTGGTATCACAAACCGACTTTCTTGGCATGCTACTTGAACTTCTTTTCTTGCTATCCATTGTGCCATAAAATAAGCACAATTATCAATTTAATTGACAGAGTAATTTTTTTGTCGCATCCTATGTTTCATAACAAGAATTTCGAATTCATCATTAATATTTTATTGAGAAACGGACCCATTGGGAACTATTTAATTTTTAAGAATATCAAAAAAAGGTTCCTGTGTCTAAATTCAAACAATTTAATAACGAATTAATGATGAACAATAATAAACAAAATAAGTATAACAAAAAAATTACCTAAATTACCTATTTCACCATATGTACCATCCATCTCCGACAAATTCAAAAGATTTTTTTAAAACAATCGGTTTATACGTTTGGTCTACACGGGGATTAACAAATTAAATTCCTTCATTAAGGGGGGGTGGCAACCAGTTGAACACGGCTCAATTGGACACGAGCCACTAACAGCGCTTGAGACTACAAAGCTCCTAAGCACCGGTCGCTGTGATTGGTGGTGTCCAATAGAGCCGTGATCAATCGGGATCACCCCATTAAGGGATATGGCCACCCTTGTAGGCATAAAAACAGTAATAAATTCAAAAATTTTTTTAGTTTAAAAAATAATTTAATATAAAATCAAATTAAAGCACTGATTAGTGCATATATTAAAGTCCACAAAAATTTTTTTTTGTATTTTTTGTATCCAAAATGATAGCGCTATCAGTGACAGAGTGTGCGTTCCGGGATATACTATTCGCGCTATGGATGCAAATGCTACCAACGCTGTTCGTGGAGCCAATAGCGCGATAGCGTTAGCAAGTTTCATGAACGATCCTAGCGTAGCGTTGGTAGCATTTAACCAGAGAGATTTAATATTTGTCGAGGTTAAGTTAATGTAGGGGATTCTGTTTTCAATCACCGACCAAACATTTTTCTGTAATTTAAATTTTTACGGTTTTGTAAAGTATTTGTAACGTAAATTAATTTCTCGTAGTGAATAACAGAACGCAATCTTAATTGCAATCTCTATGATCATAGTGCATGCCATAGTAATCGCCAGTAACAAGATACTTCTGACATCTTTAATGAAATCAAATACACAAGTTGAACTCTGCAGAAACTTTGAAAAGTTAAAGATGATACACAAGCAAGAATTAGTTCACTCCAGCCTAGTGGCAAGCCATCAATTGCAGAGATTGAAATTGAGATTGCATTCACTATCATAAAATTTGAAATTCACACGTTCCGTGCGTACATTTATTCTACAAAATTCTAAAGAGAGAAAAGTTTGGTGTCACTCGAAATAGAATCCCCTCAAACGTTAATCTAACCTTGACGAATTGATGACGCGCAGTTGTAACGTAACACGCTACCATTAGTGACGTGTTTATTAGCGTTATCTGCAGCTCCGCGAACAGTTTGTAGCGCTAAATAGCGCGAATAGCGTCTCCCCGAACGCACCCGGAATCTCGTATGTTTTTTTTGGAGGTGCTCCAGGGCTTTACATGTAGTAGCATCCACAAATTTTGACCTAAAGCAAAAAAAAATATTTTTTTTAATGTACACTGAAATACCTAGAGAAGTACGTAGGGGAGAATCCTTTTCGAGAATTTTACTTATATAATTTAAAATTTTAACTATACCATTTTATTCTATTGACTCATTTGTAGTGAAGTACATCTAACATAGTCAGTTTGTATATCCGACAAAATATAACAGACGATATAGAAGTTTTTAATTATTGACAACAGTTTAACGATGATTTGACGGCTTAGCAATTAAACACATTATTCTATGGATCAACTATCAACATTTTTATATTGAAGAAGACCCAATAATAGGGTCGAAACGTCTATATTAAAATTTTTAATATATCTACTATTACACATGAATATCTTATGTTGACTCATATAGACATTTCCTTACATTATCATTATTAAATATATATTTTATATTATAATTATATTTTATTCTTAATTGTAAATTTTATGTGCGGGTATATATACGAGAGTCGTTTGAAAAGTTTTGAGCTTCAACATAAAAATGGCATTACTCGTCAAAACCATTCTGGTACTACAATCGTACATGTTTTGCAAGATACCTGTGAAAATTGTAGCCATTTTTTTGGACGCTCAGTTGTTGTTTGAGAGTCATTTGTGTCAGTCGAAGTGTTTTCGTTTGATGAAAATCTGTGTCCTTCGAGCCTAACTTTGAGCCTAGAAAACAGGAAAAAATCATTGGAGATCAGATCTGGTGAATACGGTGGGTAGTTAATTAATTCGAACCGCAATTCGTAAATTTTTGTTATGGCGATCGTCGATATTCGATTTTTTCCATTTTTACAAAAATACTGACATCGACTGGCATAAATGGCTGTCAAACAACAACTGAGCGTCCAAAATGGCTACAATTTTCACAGAGATACCTTGCAAAACATGTACGAGAGATTGTAGATTGTAGACCCGAATGGTTTTTACGAGTAATACCATCTTCATGTTGAGGCTCAAAACTTTACAAACGACCTTCGTATATTTAGTTTTACATATATACAGGGTTGGGTAGTGCTAAATTAAAAAGTTAAAAGTTCAGTTAAAAAGTTAAAAAGTTAATTAATTTTAACTTAACTTAGTTACATTTTTGGTCTGTTTTCTATTCCTGCACTAGACTGTTCTAGAACTTTCTTTCTCGCTTTAAATAAATATCAAACATATATCTATCTCACTTTAAGTTCCAAAAGTGTACACTAGTTCAGCCACAGAAAACAGACCTTTTATCGGTAACTAATAACTTTTTATTAATTTTTTTAAAGTTAAGTGTTAGACACAATACGAGCCACACGTAACCAACGATACGAATTCCGGCCAGCTTGTAGCTGCTTGCAGCAATTGCAGCACGCGATTAGCGCCTTCATCGGCGGTCGATGGCGCTGATCGTGTCCTGCAAGTCGGTCGATATTCGCATCATATGGTCACTGATACGCGTTATGGTACGTTTCCACTGAGCGCAACGCGTGACGCGCTCAGTGGAAACGTACCATAACACTACGCTGTTCCGTGTTGATGGATGGCGCTGTTGATGTCCTGCAAGGGACACGAGTTTGCATTACTGGTTCTAACTTGCAGGACTTGCAGTAGCTTGTAGTGTCTATAGTTTGC